TGTTTGCAGGTCATGAAAAGATTAATCGTTCTTCGATCGGTGGTCTTGTTCCCAGGAGCTTGGTGGTGGCCCAGGTGGGCGGGGATGTGCATTACTATACTGTGTGTGTTTCAGGACTGGGAAGCAGAAAGTCATGACTGGTACTGTTTTGAGTGTCACCTTCCTGGAGATGTGCTGGAGTGTGACGGCTGTTTCCGTGTCTACCACCTCCGCTGTGTGTCTGAAGACCACCGGCCACGCGACACAACCTCCCACTGGCAGTGCGGCATCTGCAGGGTGGGTATAGAGAGACCATTAGAAAACCCAGCTCAGTTCGGATTGAAAATTCTGACTGAATTAGACGTTCAAAACCACTTTAGCTGAAACACTCTACATTAATTTGTCAAATTATGTTGTTTGGCAACAGCTTTTATATATATACAGTGGGTACGGAAAGTATTCAGACCCCCTTAAATTTTTCACTCTTTGTTATATTGCAGCCATTTGCTAAAATCATTTAAGTTAATTTTTTTTCCTCATTAATGTACACACAGCACCCCATATTGACAGAAAAACACAGAATTGTTGACATCTTTGCAGATTTATTAAAAAAGAAAAACTGAAAAATGCTCAGTATTTAGTAGAAGCACCCTTTTGATCTAATACAGCCATGAGTCTTTTTGGGAAAGATCCAACAAGTTTTTCACACCTGGATTTGGCGATCCTCTGCCATTCCTCCTTGCAGATCCTCTCCAGTTCTATCAGGTTGGATGGTAAACGTTGGTGGACAGCCATTTTTAGGTCTCTCCAGAGATGCTCAACTGGGTTTAAGTCAGGGCTCTGGCTGGCCCATTCAAGAACAGTCACAGAGTTGTTGTGAAGCCACTCCTTCGTTATTTTAGCTGTGTGCTTAGGGTCATTGTCTTGTTGGAAGGTAAACCTTCAGCCCAGTCTGAGGTCCTGAGCACTCTGGAGAAGGTTTTCGTCCAGGATATCCCTGTACTTGGCCGCATTCATCTTTCCCTCGATTGCAACCAGTCGTCCTGTCCCTGCAGCTGAAAAACACCCCCACAGCATGATGCTGCCACCACCATGCTTCACTGTTGGGACTGTATTGGACAGGTGCCTGGTTTTCTCCACACATACCACTTAGAATTAAGGCCAAAAAGTTCTATCTTGGTTATCTAAGTCTTTCCACATGCAGGGTGGAGGAGAGTTCTGACAACCAAGTTTTGAATAGTGGCTTCGACTTTTTCTTCCACACGCAAAGAATAGATTTTTTTGCAATCATCATACCATACTGTATAGGCAGTCGGAAAGCATGGCTAAGACGCTGCAAGGAAGCTGACCAGCCAAGAACAGCAGTCGCAGGATCTAAAGGAAGCTCACATGCATAAGCATCAGAGAGAAATTGAAAAACTTCTGACCAAAATTCACAGAGTTTTGGGCATGCCCAGAAAAGATGACCAAGAGAGCCCTCCGCAGATTCGCACTTATTGCAGAGAGGGGAAATAGTAGAATAAAAAGTTTATAGTTTGACCCTTGAATAATGTAATCTATGCAGCACCTTGTACTGAATAAGCTGGTGCCTGGCATTAATAGAACAGGTGTATATATTTTTAAGACATTTTGCCCAGTCTGGCAACAGCTTATAGTTTAGGATATTTTTTTATTTGGAGGGGAAAATATGATTATTATAAACAAAAAAATTCATTATTAAGTGAATTTTATTCTGATTATTGATAAAACTAGAATGTGTCAGCATATAGAATGATTAATGAAGGATGAAGATTGGAAGAAATTTAAGACGACTGAAAATTCAGCTTTGCCATCACACGAATAAATTATATTTTAAAATATATATTTTTTAAAAAGTTATTTTAAATTGTAATAATATTTCACATTGTTACTGTTTTTACTGTATTTTAGATCAAATGAATACAGTCTTGGTCATAGGTGGAGTTTGGGGGGGGGTTCACAATCGCTGTGAAAGGAAGAAGATAAAACGTAAACAGGGTGTTTTTCAGAGGTGTGCTCTGCCCTAAATTTGACACGCCCCAAAGCAGTGGCGTTGTAGCGTTGCCAGCGGCACTGAGCGCAGATTTGACACTGTAGTGGAAACGCACCATTAAGCACTGTCGAACCGCTCTTGACAGTGGCGGTAGCACGGTCTCGTGTTGTTTCCACCAGCGTAGCAATTTTTTTTCATCACTAATTGATGGATGTCTAAAATATAAAAATAAGGAGAAGCCTAAAACAGGCCCGAAGCCCGGCCCGCGTCTAAACTATCACGTGAAAATTGGCCCGAAGCCCAGCCTGAGGGGCGTAAAAAAAGTTGGGGGCTGAAATACAGGGTTCTATTTCGGCTACATCAGAAATAAGTTTCTCAGTTATATAATGTAGAATATGTGTTACATAAATACATGAAATGTAGAACATAAAAAAAAAAGTGCTCGTGGCTCGTCTGCCAGTGGGTGCCGACGCATAAAAGGGAAACTCCGCCTATGGCCTTGGTGAGCATAAGAGATATCTTTAAAAAAAAATATATATATATTTTTTATTATAAGATATGGGGGGGGGGGGGGTTAAACCCCCAAATGCATTTTAAGAATATGTTACATCAGATTATGATGTGGTTATTGAGTCATTTTTTTCTTGTGGTGATGTTTACTAACAGGGCAGTAAAAGGAAGAATTTGAACAAACAGGAAATGACAACATGCCTAAAGTTCATTCTTGGACGCATGAAGGAAAGGGTGGGTTTCACACTTTCACTTCTCACTTTTTCCACACTAAATCATGTCGAAATCGTCTTTCCCCCACATGCATTTTCTGTTGAAATGTGAAGCAGATTTCTTCCATCTGATCGTCTTTCAGGCTGTGGACCTTCAAAAGAAAGGCAAGGAGTCAAAGCAACCCATGTACAGAAGACTGATCCACACGCTTCTGGATGTGGATAACATACAAGAGGTACACCGACCAAACACTAGTAGAAACAATTCAAAGATCATGTCCCATCAGCCTCAGCATGTTCTCATGTATCTTCTGTTCCCCTACAGAACATCTCAGAGGGGAAGTACAAGAGCTTTGAGGAGTTCAGGGCTGACGCTCGGCTTATTGTTCACAATACAGCCATTCTGCACGGAGGTGAGACGTATGAACCACCATCATGAGTGTGATTTATCAAACAGCTTGTGTGCACTTCACTCAAGTGTCAGCTTGACCAATTCCACATTCTCTGTCAACAGTCAACAGCGATCAGACCGAAATTGCAAGACTTCTCTATAACGACACATGCCACGAGGTCAGACCGAGCAAACAGTTGGAATTTTAAGCTTGTTTAAGGCACTTGACAAACATAGCTAAGCTTTGCCGTTTCGATTTTTGACAACATTTTTATGTTAATGGGTAAAAGATTTTGTGCACTTTTTGAACAATGAATTGTGCAATTATTTATTTGTTCCAGCTGAACGAGTTAATGCTGTGCAGACACTGCTTCTATCTCTCGAACTCACGACCTGACAACTGGTTCTGTTACCCATGTGTAAGCACAGACGCACACACTCTCATTCCTGCAGATTTACATGTGATTTGTGAATGTACTTAAGGATATTTGTCTGCGATCAGAGTCCGACTCACGAGCTGGTGTGGGCCCGGATGAAGGGCTTTGGTTATTGGCCTGCAAAGGTGATGCAGAGGGAGGGCAATCAGGTGGATGTTCGGTTCTTTGGTCACCAGCACCAAAGGTGAGCCTCCGGTTACATTAGGAACATGAACAATATTGGATTTAAAAGGACAAACATAAGACTTAAGAAGCTTCATCCTAAATTAAACAAGATTATTGACTCAGATCTACAGCTGGGTGATGTATCAAATATTCACAACATATTTGCAATGATCTTGCTATAAAATTATTCAACATTGTTAATATTGATGATTTTAATGTCTCATTAAAATGTTTTAATAGCACACTGGCAAGTGAAACATTTCAAACTGCCATTTCATTGAAGTATTTGTTTCATCACTCAGAAATGTTCACAGAATTGTCCCATATGGTGTGTTTCACATGTTTTGTGGTCCAGGGTCACGGTTTTCAGGGGAGCTCATGTCTTATTAAGGGGAGCCTAGCTCCCCCGTAGTTCGCACCCTGTATATATGTATGTATGTATGTGTGATATATATTCAGTGCCAGTGCCATTAAAAAGATTTGTAATGTTGTTGTTTTTTTTAAAGAAGTTTCTTATGCTCATCAAGGCTGCATTTATTTGATCACAAATACAGAGAAAAAATTAAATTTTGTGAAATATTATTGCAATTTAAAATAATTTTAATATACATTTAAAATATAATTTATTCCTGTGAAGCAAAGCTGAATTTTCAGCATCATTACTCCAGTCTTCAGTGTCACATGATCTAAATTTTCTAATATGCGGACTTATTAAATGCTGTTCTTTTTAACTGTTTATTTATCAAAGAATCAAAGAAAAAAGTATCACAGGTTCCAAAAAATTTAAAATTAAGCAGCACAACTGTTTCAACACTGACAATAAATCAGCATATTAGAATGAGAAATAAATTATATTTTAAAGTATATTAAAATAGGAAACCAATATTAGAAATTGCAATAATATTTCACAATATTACTGTTTTTTTCTGTATTTTTGATGAAATAAATACAGCTTTGATGAGCATAAGACACCCCATTAAAAAACATTAAAAATCTTGCTGATCCCAAACTTTTGAACGGCAGTGTATGTGTGTACGTATATAAATAATAATATGTGTATTAATGTCAAAAGTCTAAAAATGATAGTTTTTGTATCTCCCAGCCCTACTGAAAGCTAGATTTGACTCACCTAATTGTAGACCTGGTGTAGATCTGTATGTGGGCAAACTAGCTTGTGAAACCAGCAGGCTCGTGTCTGTTTTGCTGCAGGGCATGGATTCCTTCCGACAACATCCAGGAGATCACAGTTAACGTGCAGCAGCTGCAGGTGAAGCGCAGCTCGGGGTGGAAGAAGGCGTGTGATGAGCTGGAGCTCCACCAGCGGTTCCTGAGGGAGGGCCGAACCTGGAAGGGGAAGCTGGAAGAGAAGCATGACAGGTCGGACAGGCACGAAAGACAGGAAGACAGACAGGAAGAGGCGGAGTCAAGTATCTCCTCCACATCCAACGAGCAGGTGAGCACTTTGGCGCATTTCATTTTGAAAAAAGCCAGATTGGATTTGCTTTATGTAATATCTGGTTGTCTTATGTTACTGACAGTCGAAAGGCAACCAAGAGCCCAAAGCTAAAAAGAGCCGCCGTTCCCAAGTCGCCGAGCCCAAAGAAGAGGTTTGTAATGCAATGCGTCTATTGAAAGAGATGTGATGTATAGAGTTCACGTCACCTTTACCATCTCCTGCTGTTTTATCAGGAACCGGAGCCTGAGATGGAAGCCGTCAGTTCAAGTCAAGAGATCCCAACAGCTGTTCCACATCAACCTGAGCGTATGTCCGTCTCCACCCAGACCAAAAAGTCTGGCTCGCCTTCCTCCTCTTCCTCACCAGCTCCTCGCATGGTACACCGAGGCACTCAGACGGTCAACGAGGCCAGCTGCCAAAGCATGTGCCACGACAAATACACCAAGATCTTCAGCGACGTTAAAGATATGATGAAAGCGGAGAACAAGCGGGAAACCGAACGCGTCCTGAAAGAGGCTCTGGACAAGGTGAGGAACGTTCTTTCATTTTGGACTGACATCTGACTCCCTCTTGTGGCCAGATACAAAGATACCCCTTGTCCTCCAAGAAAGCCACCCTTGTTGGTGGAAAAAGGGGGAAATTGCAGCAAACTCAGCAATGTGGTCGTCCTTACAGTTGCGAGCGGAGATGGAGGAAGAGAAGAGGCAGGCGGTGAACAAAGCAGTGTCCAGCACGCAGGCTGAGATGGAAAGAAAGTGCAAACAGGTGAAGGAGAAGTGCAAAGAGGAGCTCATGGAGGAGATGAAGAAGATGGTAGCTCAGCATAAACAACTTATTTCCCAGACCAAGAAGAAGCAGTGGGTGAGTGAACTTTCAGAAGATCTTGTGTAGATACAAATTGTTAGAACCTCCAGACAGTCGAATCATATTGCATTCAGGTCCATTTTGACAAGGAAGAGATACAGTAAAAAATGCTTCGTTTATAGTATGGGAACCAAACTTTGAAAAGCTGTCAAAACTATGAAAAAACACATCATTTAATTTGATTTTTAGAAATATATTTTTTTATAAAAAGATACAACCATACCTGGGAATCAACTTTTACACATGATTTTATTCAGATTTTTTAAGATCTAGGACACTTGTGTAAAATATGTTTTTAGATTTCCTTGTATCTTGTAAATGCTTTTGGATCTGAACTTTGTTAATAATTATTAATATATGCACCCCTACTGATGAATCATTGCAGCATGGAAAATGTATCATATATTTATAAACATTCCAGAATAATTTAGATGTTGATTTATTACCAAATTAACATGTAGGTTTTATAAATGCAGACTGTTTTTGAGCAGTCAGATTATTTGTTCTTATTAATTTGATGTAATATATTCAAGTAAATTTTAAAATGTCAAAGAATTTCTCAATTTATTAATGAATAAAAAGACTGTAAATGTAGTAATGCTGTAACGTTTAAAACTTTGTATTTTTGCACATTCACTCATTATTGAAAAGTTACTGATCAGATTCAATATTTGCATTTAAAAAAAAGTTATGACTGTTTTATAACTGTTCCACCAGGTCTAAACAGACACTAGAATGAAAAATAGTGTGCAGACTTTGAATGCATTATGATTGCTAATATTACTCAAATTAAGTAAAATTCATTCAAATGTGACTCTTGATCTGTTAAAGAGCATCTCCTCCTGGCAGCTTCATCAGTATTTGAACATTATTTTTCTTCTTAGTTTTTTGTTCTTCCCCAGAAGCCCTAATTTACCCACCATGTTGTTGTATTTACAATCTATTTATAGCTTCTATATGTTGCTAGGAGATGAGAAATGGTTCTCCAGCATATTACTCTCCTGAACTCCAAAATTGTCTTCTGGGAAATATTGCAGCTCTGAGGGCAGAATTAGGAAATGAAGAACAATTTTCAAAAGAGTCAATAATGTGATCTGGGGTTGTATTATACCTCTGTAGATGAACTCAGTTGAATTTAGTTGGTTAACCTGATTAATGACACATTAATGAGAAAACTATCACCACCCGATTTTTTGCTGCTCTCCATATGGGTCTGACACGATAACTTTTGGCTAGGTAACCATGATTTTGTCCAGTAGAACGTGATATAGTCGTGATTTCGCTATATTGTTTATATCGCTGTATTCATCAAACGCGGATGAATGAGAAAATAAAGAGCGGGACGACCTTGATATTAAAATTAGTTGATAAAAGCGCATTATGTTCCGATAAAGAACTGCATTCATCACTTGCACATCGCCTGCGAGCTCGTACAACAGCAAAAATCGCACCGTGTACGCCTGCCTTAAGCGCGTGACTTAATCTTTCGCTGCATGTTGATTTGAAATTATTTCAAAATGTCAGTCTTGGCAAGTATTCACGTAAACACAGTGGGTTACGCCTGAAGTGAATGTAAAGTTGAACGTAAAAGTCAAAATGTTCGTACTTCAGTCTGTTCATAATTAAACACTCGACTGGTTTTGATTTAATAACTCTTTTTTTTTTAGCTTTAATGATAAATATATTTGATTCACAATGAAAAAAATAAATAAAAAGGTGTTGTCTAATTGCTTGAAACCCTTTTTCTTATATTAGTTAGTCTGGTATTAGTTTCTGCTATCAGATTGTTACATTTATTGGAATTGTAACTTTATTTCTAGCAAAATAACTATATTGTTGTTATGAAATGACAAGATTTAGGTCATTGCCCACCCCCAGTTCTAAACATAACCTCTCAAAATAAGAGTTTTGTGGCTTTTAGTCCACATATGTTGGCTTTGAGGTTAATCTATATGCTATTGTGCTCCTAAACATTGACAAAAACTCATTTTTAGCATTTTTGTCTTTCTACTGGGAAAACAAACCTAAGATAATGACTCATTCCGCACTTCACAGATTTTTGTCCAATCAGTTGCTCTCTAGAATGAGAATGTCCCCTTCAACAGAGAAGCAGACTGTATTTTTATTTATTTATTTTTCAATAGGAAATGCACCAATAAGAATGATGATCCATGAGTATATTTTACTGAACAAAACTCTTGTGTGCAAGTCTTTTAGCGTCTCATTGTTCTCTTTATTCCGTCTTTCAGTGTTATAACTGTGAAGAAGAGGCGATGTACCACTGCTGCTGGAACACGTCGTACTGCTCCATCAAATGCCAGCAGGAGCACTGGCACGCCGATCACAAACGTACCTGCCGCCGGAAGAGATGAGCTGCAGCTGGCCACGCCCCTCCTCTCGACTCCACCCATCCACGAGCCACGCTATTGGATAGATTTTACCGCTCACCACCCACCCCTGCCCGTGGATTCTTGATTTTTTTTAGCCAGCATTTTAAACCCCAGCTCTTAGAACACTTTTACCAGAACATTTTGCTGAGTTGCGGTGAACGCTAACAGGGCAACCAGCGAGGGACTTCACGATCCTTGTGGAGATGGTTTTATGTTTGGATTGTAACGGTATCTCATTGCGTCTTCCTTTTTGTTTTTACCCTTTTATTTGCTGTATGACGGAAATCAGCCTTGCTTGCATACAGACTAGCTGAAATGTGAAGTACTAGTAATCTTTTTTTTAACAACTTAATCCGAAGCAATGTAGATATTTGACTTTTTTATATAAGCGAATCATGTCAGCCTCCTGCATTGAGTGAAGTTGGTGCATTTAAACTCGAAGGTTGGTTTTTATCAGTGGTTGTGATGTCATTTTTTTGGGAACAGGGTTTAAAGATGGCAGGTCATGTCTGTCTGAATGATACAATCTTCCATTAATGAATATGCACATTTCATGGTTACACTTTAAAATAGGCCTTTTAATTTTTAACGAAAAAACGAAATTATGTGCTAATTTTGGGGGTCCATTTCTGTAGCTTAAGTGTACTAAATCTTTGCCGAGTGGGATCTTTAGTGAGGTTTGTAAGTGTGGGCAAATTCGTTACCAGTGCTCCCAGACAGAATGAAATTTGTCAAGATCCCGTTATATAGCAAAATTGAATCAGACTTAAGATTGTACAGAGATCAGTGTAAATTAAACAATCATAAATGATCGCTATAGGGTTTTATCATTTAAGAATGACCTTTCGTGGCACTTTTTGATCCAAGAGAAAAGTTAAAAGGATAGTTTACATAATTTAAATTCTGCCATCATTTACTCACCCTCAAATGGTTAAAACCTGTATGGCTTTCTTAAATGCTGGTCCCCATCCACTTTCATTGTGTGAAAAAGAGCAGCTTGGACACTCGGCTAAACGTCTCCTTTTGTGTTTTTCGCCAGAACATCAGTCAAACCGGTTTGGAACAACATGAGGCTGAGTAAATGACAAAATTAGAATTTTTAGGTGAATTATTATTCCTTTAATTATTGCAATAACAAATTGTTAAGTACAAATGAGGTCAGATCTATCTTTAGAGAGTTTTTGAGAGTTGTCTATGTCGAACGGGAGAACCAATCAGCTGAAGGATGTAGGGGAACATGAGGTTCTTCTCTAATGTTTTTGCACCGATCCATATCTGCGTGAACTTGTATTCTGTTTCTCTCTGAAGTTCTGGATGCGTCTTAAATCACGTCTGATACATCCAGGTTTCTGTCCTGCCCTATTTCTCCTCCTTTCTCTCCCTCCCTTCCCAACCTCACTGTTGCACTACATGTAAATAACTGTTTGCCGCTAACCGTGACTGATGACATTTGCACGTTAGCATATGTACATTTCATGAACACATTGTATTTGATAAAGTCGATCTGTAAAGGAAAAAAAAATGTTTGTGATATAACGGTAATATGTTCCATTCCAGTGTGCATGAAACCAGGTTGTGTGTACCTTTTATTTTGGGCTCTGCGTTAATCTACGTTCTTGCGTGTCATCGGTGATGCAGTATGTCTCCTTTTTGGTTTTCTAGGGTAAGTTGACACCACTTTGTAATTGCAAGTAACCCTTTTTTTTTTTTTACTTATATTTATGCGGACAGAGTAATGACTACTGAGAATTTCCGACACCCAGTGAGAAGTCTGCTATACAAACACCTGTCTTTCATGTTTATACGAATTAAAATGTGGTGTTAAAATTTCCTCTTTCTTGCATTACATTATGTAACAGTACTACATATAAATAAAACGTATCAACCGGTGGTAGTTTTGCAATGTTTTTTTTTTTTGTCTCGCAAATTTAAAGACAAATTTACCAATCAAAGCACTTTATTGCACCATATTTTGTGAACGTAGGCCAAAGCAGGCTTTGCGATAAGTTGCCTTATTTTTTTAAGTTGACACCACTTTTTTTTTTTACAGTGTATAAAAGTGTAATTTAATACTTTTAATCATGTGTACAAAACAGAATTTCAAACACACCTGCACCATACAAAATAAATTTAGTTTGGTTGTCTTTTTTTTTCTCTAACCAACAATATTTACATACACCATGCAGACTCTCACTTAAGTCCAGATTTCCAACAAAAAAGGGAAATAACTTCACAGGTTGAAAGTTATGCGCACATTTTTTTTTCTTTTCAGAATGGGGAAACATTTCCGCTTGTATGGGAATGGCAACACTAAAGCTTCCGAACAGGTTAAGACTTATTTCCTTCATTTTTTAAAAACAAAAAAAAACACAAAAAAGAGAACATTGCATCGTCACTCTCTGAATAAGTGTAAACTCAGTTCCCATACACAGTATTGACGTCTATGACACCGATTCCAAAGTAAAATAAAAGGTTGTGATAAATAAACCAAGACCTCAATGAGGCCAGAGGGTGCTGATATCTGACTGCAGTAGATCTCCACGATTTTGTCTGTGACGCCTGCCGTATTATCAATCGCCGAGGCAGGATGTGGAAAAGAAAAGAATAAAATCCGGAATACTCCGTATTGTCATGGTGATTTAACGGATTGCCAGTGCTATGAAAAGGAGATCAGAAAACGCGTCCCTTCTAATGCGGCCGGTACAATGAAGAATGATGGTACGCTTCTTTTTCCTCTCTTCGCTATTGTTTGCATTATTATAGCCAGTCGGTCATGTTTCATGCTTTGCCCATATTGCATGTGCCAACAATATGCCGGCGTTTATTTAGCATGTATTCCCCACATAAACCGATTAAAAACAAGAGCTTAATCCATTTCACGTGAGCTGATCGGGGTTGAAAGCAAACTGTGAGGCATTAACGTAAAATGTTGTTTTATGAAAATACCAAAATCTGTAGTCCGTTGAATTAAAAGTCAAACGCTCACGAACGGTATCTGTGGTGTTCGAGCGGTAAACAAAAACGCAGTTGTGTAAAAGCCTGTGTCAATAAATAATGATGCAATCACACAGAAAAACGATACAAAACAAGTTAAAAATTCAATCCGAGCAAATAAAAACAACGTAACAAATTGCGGTGCAGATTTGAGTCATAAAAGCAAAATGTAAACAAAATTCCAGGCACATTTTTAGGGTTCGTTTTCTCTCGGAAAGGGCGCAGCGATTTCGTTTCAATTAGAAAAACTGAAGCATTTGTTCCGCATGTTTGACATCGTCTTCAAAGTCCTATGAGTTCGTATTATTAGCCTAACCGTTCGCTCGGTCAGTTGATTCTCTCTACAACAGACACCATGCAAATGGGAAGTAGCCTACTGCATTAGAAATGTTTCACTGGTGATTTGTAGATCTTATTTTATATATATATATATATATATATATATTTCCTTTTTATATATATTTGTACGTATATTTATATTTTTACATAGACTTGATGTGATACTACTCACTCAAGATGATACAATGTTTTATATCAGCAATATTATTTAATGAGGAAAACATTTCCAAATGTCTTCGCTCACCGATTCTAAAAAGAGCAAAATAAATAAGAACTATTATCTGTACATAATTACACAATATCAACCGACTTTGTGTTCACCTTCAGCTTTGTACAATGATATTAAACATGGAGGGATCGAACAAGCAGGGGACGTTTTTTCTTCGTTTTTGCTTCCCGCTGTTCGAGAACATTTACAAAGGTTGAAAAACTAAACCGGCAAGTTGCTGAAGGACAGCTGCAACGTACGTACAAATGTAACAAGTTGGCGTTGTACCTTTTTTTTTCAAATGAACGGATATCGCGTCTACTTTCAACAAGTTACTCCAAATCATCGGGAAATCTAAAACGCACATTTCGCCATAGTATGCAGATATTTAAAAATACCCTTCGCTCATGTAGGGCGGAATAAAAATGATGTTGCAACACCTCACGTGAAAACAAAGCGACGCGCACACACGCAGAAGCAGAGGCGATTCTTCTTCCTTTCAGGAGACCGAATCCTTCTGCCAATCTGTTTTGCCGTTTGGCTTGGTTATCACTTCTCAAAGTTTCTCCCAGTAAGTGTCCATTTGCGGAAGATCGCCCAACCGGTCATGTGCAGTCGGCAAACATACACGCGTACACTCATGCTACATGTTATATGCCACATAAATGGGGTCCAGCTGATCGGCTAGAAAGCCGTCTCGCAGGTGCATCCTCTGTTTCTCTCCACGAGAGTTGATGGGAATGACGCCAATGTCCACCACCACCACCACGCCTACGATCAGGTAGTGCTCCTCCAGGACCGCGTTGGTCACCAAAGGAACCAGGTCCAGTGCTTCCTGTTCTGAACCTTCCAGCTCCACGACCACCACCAGCAGGTTGGTCCAGGGAAACGCCGCACTGAAACCAACAGATCAGTTCATTTAAAACATGTCCTTTCTAAATGGCCGTTCACACTGACAGTTATTAGTAGCCACAAAGTGACAGGAAGTCATTTATCTTCAATGACAACTGAACTTAACCAATCAGAACATAAGTGATGCTTAAAATACAACTGCTGATTGAGATTTCACTGATAAAATGACTTGTAATTCTTGATGGTGGCAAGTTTTATGTATTAAATTGTATTTAAAAAAATATAATACATTTAAATGTCTTAATCTTTAACAATCTAAAAAAGCAATATACATTTGTAATACTGTAAATCGTAACATTATGATGGCCAAGTTCACTTGTAGAATTTAAAATGATTAATTTTATTTTTTGAGTATTTTATTTAATTTGTTTAGACATAATAGTATAGATAGTATACATTTTAATATCAAAAAGTACATCAATTAATTTCACTTCACTTCCATAAATTAATTTGAGTGTAGTTTTAAGTGTTGTATTTTCATTTATATAGAAAAAAAAAGTATAGAGTGAACATTTGAATAATCAAAATGAATTTGAATTTAGTTTGAATTTTTTTATTTTTCATTTAGACAAAATAGTATAATTAGTATACAATTTAATATCAAAATAAATTAAACTTTTTATTTTTAATAAATGTTTTAGACAATTTATTTAGAGAAAATAGTATAGATAATATACATTCTAATATCAAAACAATCCGTTTGACAGATTTTATTTGTTTGTTTTATTTAGATAAAATAGTATGAATATACATTATAATAATCATAAATAAACATTTTAATAATAAATTAAAGTTAAATTTTTTTGTATTTTTAGATGAAATAGTATCGATGATATACATTTTAGTATCAAAATAAATAATATAATAATTAGCAAATGGCTGCAATATAACAAAGAGTGAAAAATTTAAGGGGGTCTGAATACTTTCCGTACCCACTGTAAATAATCATTTTGACAAATTTTAGTTTTTCCCCCCATTTATTTAGATAAAATGATATAAC